CGCTGTGGCTCAAGTGGTAGAGCGCTAGCCTTGAGCTGAAGAGCTGAGGGACAGCGCCCAGGCCCAGAGTTCAGGCCCCACGACCGGACCCAAAAAAAAAGACAGGGACATAGACTGCACACAGGGTAGAAGACACCTCTGATTTCCTTCAACAAGAGTAGGAAAGGACAAGATTCTATACTTCACAAACTTTAGTCAGGCTGCTCTGAATCTGCTTTTCCAGTAGGCCTTGATCTGTGGATTAGCACTATTTATACTCTCCAGTTGTCATTTTAGAGAAGTCTCCTAACCCTCAAGTCTGTGAAGTTTGTGACTCAGCTGAAAGTCATCGCTGCTGTTTTTATAACTCAGCAAATTGCTTGTCGTGATGCTGCTCCACAAGCGTTCATACTGAGCATTGTTTCCCACGGGAGCAGCAAGGTATCACAGAGATAACGGACTGGGGTCCTAGCTGCCACCCACCTGCTGATTAAATTACCTTGGCTTTTCCCCTTCAAGTAGAATACTGTAATAATGACACGTGACCTTTATGTAAAGGTCCTTTAATAACTGTAAAATGCTGACATGATCATGTACTATAATTATATGTATATAATCTATGCAAATCAGTTTGTGAAGAATTGTACACTAGGTTCTATTTTACAATGAAATATATCAGAATGAATACTCCTAGGAGTTCTCTTAAAACAGTGTCAACTGCAGGTTCACCTCCAGCCCTGGAAACAGCCCCAGGGCATGCACAGAACTTCTTGCCTCAGATTTCTGCTGAGAGCAGAGCTAAAGCACAATATTATTGTCAGGAAATGAGAAGGAAGTGGTGAGACTTCAGAAATGTTCAATGGAAGGACCCGTGTGTTCTGCTGAGAGGTGGGTTGATACGCCCTCTGTGACACCCACAGTTCAAGAGGTGGGTTTGACCTGCTCCGTTTCCGACCTGGGCCAGTTCACCCCTCCTTAGGCAACCTGGTGTTCCCCGGCTCCCAGGAGGTACCATATTGATGCCGAACTTAGTGCGGACACCCGATCGGCATAGCCCACTGCAGCCCAGAACTCCTGTATTCAAGCGATCCTCCCGGCTCAGCCTTCCAAGTAGCTAGGATTACAGGCGCGCATCACCACGCCTGGCAAGAGGTGGGTTTGATACACCCCTCTGTGACACCCACAGTTCAAGAGGTGGGCTTGATACGACCCCCTGTGACACCCACAGTTTAAGAAAGGCTGTCAAGGGTCAAAGCTCTGCATCACTCCCTCAGTAGTGCAGGTCCAGGCACGTCAGCAGGTTCACTGTCTGTCCACATTCTAGCACAAGGACTGTGCCCAGACAGGCTCAGAAACCAAGATTTGATTGATGGTCCTCTGTGATCTGGGGCTGTATGACCTCCATCATTCCAACACCACTCAGCCAGGCATTCAACAACAAGAATCCTCATTCCTAAAGGGCACGGAGTACAAATGCATGCTGCTATAAGCAATAAAAACAAAGCGACATTTGGTGACGTTTTGGCAGAGCTGGCATCACTTCACACCTCCTCCATCCACTCTTGGAAGGTAGGTGTCCACTAGCCCGGTGCGGCAGGGAGGGGCTAAGGTGGAAAGAGTCAAGGGAAGAGCTGCTGCACTTACTTAACAGAAAAGCTGGAATTTAAATCCTAGTCTCAGCTGGGAACAGGTGGCTCAGTGGTAGAGTGCTTGCCTTGCATGCATGAGGCCCTGGGTTCGATTCCTCGGCACCACATAAACAGAAAAAGCCGAAGTGGCACTGTGGCTCTAGCCCAGAGTTCAGGCCCCACAACTGACAAAACAACAACAACAAAACAAAAACAATAAATCCTAGTCTCTTCCTACTAAAAAGATTCCACAGAATTATAAATGGAGAGAAAAAATAGACAACCTTTTATCCACGACCACTATCCCCTGCCGGCTGCAGGCACGGCCCCACGGATGGCTGAGCCGCAGCTAGCCATGCTTGAGGCCGGAGAAACAAGTGCCAGCTCTTCAGAGCAGGAAGGAACACGCTGTCACGTATTTGGCTTCAAAGTTACCAAGAGTCCTGAGTAAAAAGTAAGGCAAACTGGGAAGTTAAAAATCTCAACTGAAAAACACTGACTAGTGTTTCGGCATGCGTGTACATTAGCCAGTTTCCTTCCGATGGCACCATTTTGGTAATTTTCTAGTTGGGACATGAGAAGTGAGCACCAAGTCAGAGAAAGGCAAACAGGAGATCACAGCACTGCTTATTAAGCTAGCAAAGGGATCTAGAGGTTTAGGAAAGTTATCTTCTGGAATCCGAGAGCTGGACTGGATCCTGGCCGTGCAGGGCAGCCGCTACGTCCACAGCTCCTGTGGGTGAGTCGGCCTTCGGCCCTGGGTGCTGCCTGGTGCCCACACACACTCACTAAGTGTTTACTGGGACAAACACGCGCTGAATTGCTGTTATGTGGAGCGTGGGGGGAGAGCCAGGGCTTCACACTTGCCACAGGAAAGAGTCTACTCACCTGTGCCATGCCCCACCAGGCCATACCCCAGCGTGGCTTGAGTTTTGAACATCCCTTTTGTAACATACATTTATAAACTGGATTGTATCAGAGGACTGGAAATGCAGCCTTAGGATTTAATTCTTTGTTAACAAGAAAGATAAAGCAAATTCCTAAAAGTGAGTATTATAACTTAGCATGCTGTTTAAACAAAGGCCCCGGTAATTCAACCTAGGGACCGTGGGCTTGGTGTTGGGTGCTGTCTCTGATAGTCAAGGAGGCCTGGAGTTAGGAAGGGTCGGGCTGAGGCTGGGCCTCTCAGCATGGTCCTGGCACTCTTGTTTTAGAACAATCTTTCTTATTCTTGGTAGGAATGTCACATTCCTAACAGGAAGGACAGGAGACTGATGATTCAGCTCTGACTTGCCAAATCTGAAGCCCGTGAAGTGAAGCAGTCGGCTACCTCAACAGCCAATGTAAAACAAGTTTCACCAAAAACCTCGTGGGCAGGAGACTGACGAGAAAAGTCTGGCCCGGGACGAGTCAGTGTGTGTGATGTCGGTCTTCTCTCAGCAACAAGAGGAGCAGGGTGAAAGCCTTGCCCAGGTCTCCAGCAGAGGCTGCGCTAAGCCGCCCGCCCCGCTCCAAGCAGAGGCCCTCCTCTTCACACTGATTTAAAAACAGTGTTTGAAGAATTAGATCCATTTATTTCACTTCTGCTAGATCGGCCCCACCCTCATTATCTCTTTTCCGGGTTAATTTTCACTCCATTTCCCCTCATAGCCTCTTATCCGACCCACACCGCCTACTTCCGT